AATGAGAGAGAACCTGTTACCAGTACAAAGGAGAGCACAGGCTCTTTCCTGTCAAAAGTAATGGAGTGAGATCATCTACACAATTATTTCTAGTAGCTGGTCTCAATAGTCCTCTATGCAGCAAAGTATATATAAATCTTTCTGAGTCTGCTATGCTGTAGCAGGACATTCTAGCTCCAGCCAGCTCCTACTTACAAGTTGGAGGAGTACATAAATAAATCCTTTAATTCTCTCAGTAGCTCAAGGCATTGTAATGTTGGAGAAACAACTTCAGTGAGTTTGTTTGTTTGGGGGGAAGACAAAGGCAGGTCCAAATCATTTTGATTTCATTTATACTGGTATAAGTCTGGAGTGACTCTGTTCACTTGGACTGAGTTATTCTGGATTTTAGCTTGTGTACCTGAGATCAGGATTTGGCTCACTGCCTCTAATGAATGGGAGAAAAGTGCCAAACATGCTTCTAAAGAGCACCCACTGCTGTGCAACTAACAATTGCATCAATAGCGTGAGACGGGTATTAACCTTTTGTAACCATGTCATGTAATGGGGACCAGGAACAGTAGGCTAATCTTTTACTAGCATTTGTGTCACATCTTTGATACAGGTGGTAGCTTTAGAAGAAGCTGTGGCTTATTTTGTCCTTTGGGGAGCTTCAGGGATGAATTTGGCTTTGTGTGTCTGCCCTACTAATAAAGGCCATTGTGGTGGTTACTAGTGTACATGTGTAAGAATTAGACACAAAATGAAAAAAAATGTCCTTTGGCTACTTGCTTGGGACACAGCAGGTTTGTTCTGGCTATTTGTGTTCATACTTCTGTCTTGTTATAGGTGCAGACACTGCACACATCCTGGAGGGGCAGGTCTCAGGAAATCTTCAGTAGTTAGTGTCATGAAAACTGTCGGAGGGCAAATATAGTAGAGGTGTAAAGTTTACTATTTAACTGGCATGCAATTTATTGTATTGGTGCACTTTGAGCCAACTGAAAGCACCACCATTCCCTGGCAGGTGTGTGGGTAGTTTAATATGTCAATGTAATTTATGGCACTGGCATACTCTTAGCCGTGGGTGTGTGTGTGTGAGTAGTAGTAAGCATCTCTTTCAAGAGTAGGTGCTGATTGCTAGACATTTCAAAGTGACCTCCAAATGCCCACTTCTCTGCCAAATAGGAGACTTCCCATGATTTACTATACTATAGGAGTACCACAGCTTTTAAAGAAGGGAAAAAGCCCAAGACGAATCAAAATCTTTTGGAATGTCAGCCTATGATGACTTGTGGATAATTTAGAAGTAAATTTGGAATATACCATAAAGATTTGCACATCTAGAGGAAACAGAATTTTTATTGGGGAGTGTAAGATCATTCGAAGGGATGATAAAATCCACATGCATTTTTCCTGGTCCTACATTTTCTTAGACAAAGGGGAAAACCACCATCACAGTGAAAGTTGTGTACATGAATTTCTGAGGACAGAATTTGGCCTATGGTATACAATCTAAACATCTCTATATGGAAGTGAAATCATTACTTCTGATTAGTGTATTCTATTCACAACATTGTATACATACAAATGTGCCTATATATATATATATATAAATACAGTAGAATTAAGGATTAAAGTGGATCTCTTACCTGCTTCCTTCAATATGTTTAAATGGTAATCCTCTTTAAATGATGTGACGCGCATTTTTTGTTGTGGAGAATCAGAGGATTATACTATCAGAACAATTTATGGAAAGATTAGCAGAGACATAGTTGATCGTTTAAATCAGCCACCGGTTGGTTGGTTGATTGGTTGGTAGTTTTTAATTATTAATATTCAAATTATGGAGGAAAACTTCGAGTTCTACCTTTGATTTTTTTTTGCTTGAAAATCCCTCTGGTATCGACGCCTGTTATGATTCAATAATAAGTTGGTTGTAAACATGTACTAGTTTATATATAAGTGCACCACTGCCTCTAATGGATGGAATATGTCAGACATGTTCAATATCTAGCCTTTTGTAATAGATTTGCTTTCTACTGGCTGGAAGTTAGAAAAGAGAACATACATGGAAATAGGATTGTGAACCAATAGAGATTCTCCCTGAGGTCATGTGACAGAGAGCTGCTTTTGGAGCATATAATCATGAATGTGCTATTATTTCATCTGGTACACAGTGTGTATTTAATATAAGCTGTAGCTTATCCTCTCAGGAAGTATGTAATTAAACCAAAAAAGATGGGTTCTTATGATTCCCCAGAAATCAAAGGGAGGGCGGGCAGCATAATGTGATCCACAGGGCTTGCTCTTGCTCAAGTGAGCTGTAGAAAAATGGCCTTAGCTTTTGGAAACAGAGGTATATTTATTGCCAGATCCCTTACTCAGTATTATCCCAATGAAGGGTCACTTCAAACAGGGTATTAAAATGGGAGCAAGTTAAACATTTTACCCACTGACAATAAGTATTGAGTGGAAGTTGTTTGTATTGTGACAAAAGCCATGTGGTTCAGGTATACGTAACTGAGTATGTATGTAACTAGCTGTCTGAATGGTTTGGATATCTGTCACAGATATAATCCCCATTCATTTTACTGTGTTGCTGAAGGCTTATAACTGAAACACACTTTGTGTTTGCATTCCAGAAATATAAGCATCAATAAGCACAGCATTCCAGAACTGATAAGTACCGCAGGAACAATGCTGTGTGCAGAACTGTCATCCCCAGTATATTTTGGTACCTGTCTCTATACATTCAGATCCAAGTCAGCTGAGTTTCCCTTCTCATATATCTATGATTTACTTAAATTGTTCCAGGTTATTTTGTCTCCTGAGAATCTGAACTGCATTCCCATTATCCATTCATGTTCCACGCTTGTACCTCACTACCTTGTTGCTGCTCACACTGCAGATTCATGTGGATTTGATGGGATCCTAAGGGGGAGTTTACATTTCCCCTGTATGGAGCATTTTTCCCTTGCATTCTTTTTATTCCAAAGGGATTGATTAGACCCCATGATTTTTATTTCCTGAGATGCGTGTATGTCTACAGTCATAGATGAGTACCTGGAAGTACAGATCAATCCATGGTGCTACATTTCTAAACTAATACTCTTTTTTGCAAGATCAATTTTCTCTCTTCTTCCAAAAGATTCAGCTTTAACTTTTGATGTTTGGGATTTGTCCTGTGGGCAGGTACTTGTCACACTGCTATAAAATCTGAGCTGAGTCTAAGTACTACTTTTAAAGTTTCAAGCATACAATATATCAAATACTACAGATAGACACAGACTGATAAAATGCACTAATTATATCTCGCCAGATGTTGTTCTCACTACATACAAATTTAGAAGTAAACTGTTTGCTACCCTAAAATAACATGGGATGAGCATTTTTTAATGTTTTATTATTTTATTGTTGTTTATTATTTGTACTATGGTAGCACCTAGGGAGCCCTGGACACAGGCCAGGACCCCGCCGTGCTTGGAGGTGTACAAACCCAGAACAAAAAGAGGATCCCTGGTTCAAAGAGCTTACAATTTTGTAAAGTCTTCAGATTTTCATGTAGCGTCAGTAATAGAAAGTGCTTGGGATATGGCAGTAAATATAGATTTTACATTGTAACTTGATTTTTGACTTGACAATGATTTCGGTGAACATCCCTATGAAATTTTATAAACCAGAGATAAGAGTGAAAAAAGCCATGTAGGAAACCATTTAAAAAGAAAAGTCAGAGTGGGAAACAGAAAAATATATTTAAAATAAAAAAGTCAAATTAACTACTTAAAGTAGTGTTATTTTAGGGGGTTTCAACAGTTTGATAACAATATAAAAGCAGTATTTGTAGAATTGCAGTAGCTATTTCATAGTTAAAACTGAAACTGATTTCCTATTATTACTGATTTTTAAACTTCACCCTCTAACTACTTCAGAGAGAGAAAGAGAGATTCTTCCTGAACATTTGCCTACTGCATCTTATCCCAGAGGTGGCTATTACCTGAAAAGTTTGGTAAAAATCAGAAGAGACGTTTTTATGCTGTGATGAGTTGAAAATTTTACCCAACATTCTCTTCTGAAGACTTTTCTGTGTTGGCTTATAATAGCTACAGAATGGTTTTGCCTGGTTTGATTTTTAGCCTTTTGAAGAGAAAAAATGTATATATTGCTGAAGAGCTAGAAGGGAAATTAAAAAGTTATAAATAGCTTGTGATACTCCACTCTGATGTAGGATATATGGGCTATATATATAGGATAGCAGGACTATAAAATAAAGCCAGTGGGTAGGTAGGTCCCTGAGGGGAAAAGAAGATCTGGCCCAAATCAGCCATGACACACCAACATGTCTGGAACACAAGAAGGAATTGTGAAAGTGAAGGACCTGTATACTATCTAAAAGAGGTTTTGCAAGTTAAGAACATGGGCTTTCTCCATCTTGTCACTGACAGTTTAGGCCCATTTCTCTTAGAACTGGTCAGTATTTTTGGAATGTAAGAAAAAAATAATGTTTCAAAATTTTGAAAAATAAATAAGAAAAAGTATTGACATTTGGGGCAAAATTTCCTTCTCATGCACACAATGAACTATTTACAGAGCTGGTTAAAATGTTTCAAATTAAAAAAGAAGGAAAAAATTAAAATTCTTAATTTTTATCCCCTTTTGTTGACCATCTCAAATCTCTACCCTTTAATTCCTAAGGCTAGATCCATATCTCAGTTATATTATTTTAGATCAGGGTACCTCTTTGGACTTACTGTGGATTTACACCATTGTAACTGACCTCACAATCTCTTTTTATTTTCATTGTCTCTGATTAAGTTAGCTAAGTGCACAGATTAAAAAAAAACTAAAAAATATCCACACATTCCCATTCCATTGAAATTTATATCACTGAAACTTTTTTATATAAAAGCTTTTATGATGATGTTGATTATTAAATATTAATGTCCAGAGGCCGCATTTTTAGGTGCTGTTCAAACGCAGGTAGATCCCTTACCTGTATGTGTATGTCTTTTCTCTTACAGCATAGGTGGAGAAGTCGCGAGAGGAAATGAAGGAAGCTATGTGGGCAAACATTTCCGCATGGGATTTATGACAATGCCTGCTCCTCAGGACAGACTGCCGCATCCTTGCTCTAGTGGCTTTACTGTGAGATCCCAGTCTCTTCATTCGGTTGGGGGTACCGATGATGAAAGCAGTAGCTGCTCTCGTAAACAACCTCCACCAAAACCTAAACGAGATCCCAACACCAAACTGAGCACCTCATCTGAAACGGTCAACTCTGGAACAAGTAAGAGTGGGAAACTACCGGACAAGACTGAAGGTAAACAATACAATTATTTGAAACATGGTGTTAGAGAGACCCAATGTTAAGGTCAACCTATTCATAATGTTTTCCTGAAACACTGCAAACATGTTACCTGTAGTTTATGTAACCATGCCAGTACTGTTTTCCTAGACAAAGATACATTACAAGAGTACTTACAAAAGTAAAGTCTCTCTCTCAGAACTATAGCAGTAAAATATTGCCCAAAGGTAAAAATAGTTGCAGAGGTGGTGTATATTGCCCAGAGGCAATATTGGCTTTTGTAAGGAATGCTAAAACAACCATTATTAGATGACTCAACCTAGAAGGATTCTTGCCTTTCTCCTGATCTTCCCAGTTTAGGGCAAAACTTGTGCCCTCTCTTTCCACCCCAACCCCTCAGCAGAAACAGTGAAAAGGAGGCAGGGTACGAGGTCCTTCCTTCTCCACCACAAACTGTTTAGGAGGGGACAACTTATTAGGATCTTTCCTTCCTCCCCTCCATGCTAGAATTGTCTTTAGTGGAGCAGGAGGACTAGCTTTGTTCCCTACTGAGAGACATCAAGCTAGTTCTGCTTCCTAGTGTGAGATGTAAAAGGGAGTCCTTAGGGTCAGAATGACTCCGATTATTTTTGGTCAGTGCTGGTCTACTCTCTCTCCTCACATTACATATCAGTTATGACACTTGATGTGGTGTATTGCTCTCCATGTGTGTGTCCATGGGTGCTGGGTTGTGGTCAGAAATACTTGTTGGCTTTGTTCGTGCTATAACCCTTTTTTAACCAATCAGAATTTTTAAAAGGCAATAAAAAAATCTCAAAACTCCTACCTCAACTGGCTATTTATAGACAGAGATTGAATTAGATCACAGATTTATATCTCACATATGTTAGTAGGTAAAACAATCTGAAAATGGAATTTATCATGCATATTTCATTGTGTCACTCTGCCCATAGATCCAGATCCAACTTCTAACACTCCAAACCCAAGCTTTAAACTGCTGCCATTTAAAAAACTAAGCTGTTTGCCATAATTTTCCATCATTTCCTCCAGGATTTATCCCCACAATATTACACTGGCCCAAGGCCCAAAAGAGACAATAGTCAGCCTTGTATCACTGACAGGTCTGATATCAAGTGACCTTTCGGCTTTTTGTGTTATTGGATTGGGGAGATTCACCTATGGAACATTATGAAACAAAGCTGTTGTTTTCTATAAACAAATATAGGACTTTTTGCAAAGATGTTTGCACAAAAATGTTACAGGTATACTTAATGGCAACTCGCGATGATTCCAATCTGGTTTCTATAATCTGGTCCACTGGCTAATTTGGAAGAAAATTAATTTAACTTCCCAGGCAAGAGAGATTTGTCAACATAATCTTTAATATAATGTGTATTTTCTTTTTATTCTATTCTATAATGATCCATTTTGGAAAAAATGATAGGGCTTCTGTCTTGTGACCCACTTTCTCTTCCTCTTCCTGATGCTGGTGAAGTCAAAATATTGAATCTGTCACATCACAATAATTCCATAGCAATAGATGTTTTAAATATGACTCTGACAGTAGATAGGAGAAACTTGACTGGGAGTTAGCAAGTCCTTCCTTGTTTAAAACATAAGAATAAGCATAAGAATATACATAAGAATAGCGTAAGAAACAGAAATGTAGTGGCTCCTTAAATTGCTTTTGGTATAAGGGTTCTTGTTCCAAATTTGCTATAGTGTGAAAATCTTTTTAACTTGTGCTGACACACATTAGCCCAACTTCATTATACAGCAATGTGATAATGCTCCAGTGTGTGTTTTATCACAGCATATTCAGGTTGCCTGTGATTTAAGGAGCAATTTCTAAGACAGAGAAATGTCCTGTGACCTCTCTTTAATTTGATCGGTATATTTCTATATCTCTGCGTACACTATCAGGCTATATTATTCTTTTTTCTCTCCGCCCCTCCCCTGTCCCTTACTAATTAAAGGGCCTTCATCAGCTGACATTTGTTCCACATGTTTGGATTTATAAAACCGAGTTTTTACAGAATCTAAGGCTGTCTTTCCATGGAGATTTAAACTTCCAATAGAAACAGTTGTTTTGCAACCCATATCATATCATTGCCCTAGTGCTTGGCAAACTGAAAGAGATATTTTAGAAAGTAAGCTCCTTCAGGGTGGGGACATTATCTTGCTCTTTGTCTTGTATGGCACATAACAAATATAAAGAGGAGTGGAACTGACTGATGTATTTTCACGGTCCAGGCTTAAAGAAATACAGAAGGGAACAGAACAGAATAAAGAGTGACCGTGTAAGCTCTTAGGGACAGGACCCCTCTCTTTTTTTCTGTGTTTGTCTATGGCTGGGGGTCCTTGGCACTGTTGCAATATAAATAATTAAATAATAAAAACCAGTAAAAAGCTAATTTGATTTTAAAAGTTGATTTTGTTTTAATCCTTTGAAGTGTTGTTAGTAAAAAGTGTGAGGAATGCACAAGAGACTTTTTTTTTTTATCTCAGAAGATGTGATTTTCAAAAATGCTGAGCTTTGGTCTAACTCTGTCCCTGCTGAAGTCAAGGGGCGTTTTACCATTGACTTTAATGGATGCAGAGTCAGGTCACTCTTGAAAATCCTCACTTATGGTGTCCATTTAAGAGAGAGATCGAGAGAGAGAGAGGGTGTGTGTGTGTGTTACCTGAATGTGAGGCATCTACCCTGCTGCTCTGTAATTCTGTCTGAGCATTTCTTCTGCTCAGTAACCTCTACAAGTAGTCTACTTGTGGAGGATATTTAGCTTTGGAGAAAGGCAACTACTAATACTGTAATCGGAGTTGTTCAAAAGGCAGTGCCTCTCAGAAATTCCCAGTTACCGCCCCACCCAAGCTGCTAACCACCCGCTGTGAGCTTGAACTGTTGCCACATGAGCTAAACAGGAGTTGGACTGAAATGGATTTAGAGCTTTCAGTAGCTTTATGCAGTTCTCAATTCCTTTTGTTTCCTACATTGTCTAATAATTTATTTAAAGAATGATGTTTCCTGGCTTATAACCAGCCTTTTCCACCCTAGCTGTGTGCCTGTTAATGGAAGAAATATGTTAGAAGATCCTTATTATGCAATACATTTTTTTCCCATTCCTTGGCTGTTGCTTCATATTTCAAGGGCAGTGTTCTTCCCTGACTACTCCTTGTGTAACCCTATAGAGTCTTATTGCATGGATATGAATCAGGGCAGCATTTGGCCCTCAATAAGTATTCACTCCATATACGTAAGTAGCTTTTTCTGATATTATTTTGCCAGGATCCTCACCCTGCTACTAAGCTGAACTACCCTTAAACTACTTATAGCTAAATTACAGCTCTTCCCAAGCAACAGCTGTGCTGTGGGGTTGTGAAGGTGTAGCACCTAAGTGGGAGTGACCGGAGACAAAGGAAGAGATGTTCCAGATGGCAGTTAGATGCCCAACTCCTGCTGAAAATTAATGGGAGTTGATTCCCTAACTAACATCTGTGCCATTGAAAATCTTCCCCAATACACCTAAATAGAGCAGAGGTAGACACAGTGCCTTCAGTGGTGCTAGAAAAATGCAGTCATCGCTTTAAAAAACAAAAACAAAATGCAGCATGCATTTCCCCCTGGCTCCAGCCTTCAGGCCAAAAAGCCACATTACCCTTTCATTTAGGGATTGCAATCAGCAGGATCAGGTCCTCCCTGATTTTGCTGGTGGGGACAAGGAACAGCTCCCTGCAACTATGAGTGTACTTGCCCATGCAGAAGCCAGCCACAGTTTGGCCCTTAAGCTGCAACAGTTGCTTGTTCCCAGTCGCCTGGATTCTAACAGGAACTAAGAGCAAAGAGCCCAGTCTAGCCACTCTGTTAGCTGTAAGATATGCAGTCACTGATGGTTGTCTCCTTTGCTTATTTTCAGCTGAGGTTGCCATTGCAGGTTTGGATCTGCAGTTTCAATAACCACCTTTCTGCTGCAACCCCTCTTTCTGCTGGCAGACTCCCACAGCTGAATTATTTTTCTCTGCGTTCCAGCCACCTTCTATCTGCTCTGGTGTATTTTCTGGTCCCTCTGATCAGAAAAAAGTGGAACAAAAGCAGAGGTTCCAATGCAGCTGTAATAGCTTTCTACCAAGAACAATGAGCACAATGTGATTTTTCTGAGGAATTTGTAAACAAGTTTCGAATCCATACAGCAGTATCTTCTACCACTCTAGGCACATATGCATACTCATTGATGTTAATGGAAGTTACAAGCACTGAATGGAGAATAGACCATGCAGTATTAAAAGACAGGACAATCTAGTTACCAGCTTGGGAATTATTCTGTGCTGGGGAACTGATTGTTAGTACTGTAGCTATGACATATGAGCCTGCACTAGGATTTGTGTGCTTAATGGCTTTTTTTAATTTTATGAAGTCACTTTATACATTTCACATTTCTATTTTGTGTGTGGACATTGATCATTTACTTGGGGTGACATTCCACATGCAAAAAGAGCACAAGATGAGAAATACAGCCTGCCTGCAATATCTATAAATGTATTTATTACACTTAAGTTACATTATGTTTAACCTAGTGTATAGGTACACACAGCTGATACCTTTTCATTGTGTTGTTTGCACCTTAGGGAGACATAATAATGGACCTTCTCATGGTATTTCTACTAGCCATGAGCTGAAGTTCTGTGAGAAGACCAGATCTTGAATTATTTTAGTCTACTGGATGTCTCCCTAAAGCATTAAAAGTCACTGGAAAAACAAAGCTTGGGTTTCCATTGCCGCATTGCAAGAGCTGACCTGAAAATGTTGAAGGCAATGGCACTACTCGAGTAAGGGTTTGCAGGATCAGGTCTGAATATTAAATCCCACACATATCCTTAGTGCTTATCCATTGTAATACCTATGTCCTGTAAAACTCATGTGGAGCTACAGGAAAGAGAACAGAACACAACTGAACTCATTATTCCACAGAAAATAAATTAGATTTCTATCCTCATACCTCTTCCCTTATCTTCTTGTT